TAATTCAGTTGTATTCTGTAATGAACCATAATTAAATTTGTGATTTACAATGTACCAATTTACTCATGCCATTAGGTATTGTGATTATTGCAGTTTTACAGAAAAAAAAAACCGTGGTTCAGAATAGTTAGCTGTCTAAACAAGGCTAAACAACAAGTAGCAAAGATATTATTTGAACCCAGCTGGTCTAGAAACTGAGTTCTCAACTAGTGTAGTTTACCATATGTTATGATTCAGATCTAAAATGTTCCCCAAAGTGTCATGCTTTCACAAATGAGGCTTTTGGAAGATTATTGGATCATGGGAGTGCTATATTCATCAGTGGATTAATCCATCCATGAGTTCAAGTGATGTTAGGATGTGGTGCCTGGTTGGTGGGGTAGGTCACTGGATGGGGTACGACTTGGAAGGTAGTACTCTTGTCTCTGGGTCCCTACCCTCTCTCTGCTTATTGGCTGCCATGGGGTGAGCAGCTGTCCTTGAACATGCCTTTTACCAAACTGTTTCTGCCTTGAAGTCAATCACATAAGGACTGAACCTAGTGAAACTGCAGCCAAATAAAGTGTGGGTGTTGAGTATTCTGGTCCCAGCAACTTGAAAGCTAACTAATACACCATCATTTAGAGAGTTCATCATCTTTAACAACTGTAGCTGTCTGGAAATTAAACTAAAGGGAAGAAGAGTGAATGACTCGAAGAAAAGATTTTTTTTTTTCACAAAAAAGACTATTAGTACTGAAGCAAAATAAAGACAATAATTCAAAATAAAATGGGGCTTCAATAACAGTTTTTGAGAGGAGAAACTTGAACTACACACCTGAAATAATGGGCTTCTACTAGTTAGTTATGATAGTTCTGTTAAAGCTATATAGTTGAGTGGAAAACTCTGTATTAGGAATCAGGCCTGGATTCTAGTAGTTCTTGTCACTATGTTGTTAAATGAGCTTGATTAAAGCACTAAATGGATAGGCCCTCCTTTTCAAGAAACAATATTGAAGGGGCTGGTGATTTAGCTCAGCGGCATAAGCGCCTGCCTTGGAAGCAGGCAGTCGTGAGTTCGATCCCTGGTACCGATAAAAAGACAAAAAACAAAACAAACAAACAAAAAAAACCAGTATTGATGTTGCTGGAAAAATCACTGTAATAAGAAAAAGGATGAATGCTTTCTTGTCACAAGACAACAAACATTAGCACCAAGAATTTATTGACTACATCCCTTTTTAGAAAGCACAAATTAAACTGAAAATTAGAAAAGACAATGTTGACTTATTTCATTAAGTGTACATTAAATTTTTAGAGAGTAGTGAACAATAGTCTTAAAATTCTGAACAATAGTTTTAGGGAGCCAGTCAAACTAGCATTCCTAGTGTGTGTGTGTGTGTGTGTGTGTGTGTGTGTGTGTGTGTCTGTATGCACATGTGTTTGTATAGGTAAACTGAGATATGTAGGCATTTTAACAGCTCTTTAAACTTGCCCTATTCCAACAGATCTCTCCTTAAATAAAGGCAGCTTTTGGTTCAGGTTAATTTAATTCAATCTATGTTTATAGAATACCCCAAGACAATCTACCCTTGACCTAAGGAAGCCTCTGGGGTCCTGACTTGTAAGGTTCTTGTGATAACTGGGAGCCATTAGGCATTTGATGTTCTGGATGGGAAGCCAAAACCATGTTTCAAACAAAGATGTTTTATGTACAATTTCTGATAAACTAACAAGAGTTCACAGAAAAAAAGGACCTGAATTTCCACTGCTCAATAATTTGTTGTGGTTTCTTTTTGCATTCTAAATACTCAGTCTTTGAAATAACTTTGTATCTATAATGGTTTTTTTTTTTTTTTTTTTTTTTTTTTTTTTTTTTTTTTGTCTTTTTTGAGACGAGGTCTCGCTGTACAGTTCAGGCTGGTCTTGAGCTCCCTTTGTAGCCCAGACTGGTCTCAAACTCACAACAATCCTCCCACCTCAGCCTCCCGAGTACTGGGATTACAAGCGTGAGCCCCCACGCCTGGCTTGTATCTATAATGTTATATCAAAGGTACTCTCTTCAATTATGTAAGAGTCAGATGCAAATTCCAGTGTTTTCTGTGCTACGTATTATGTCCTGAACTAGTGGAAATACAAAAAAGAAGTTGTTTTGTGGAAGAGTGAAGAATTAGGCATAAATCAGAATTAATTGGTAATCCAATGATAGAAATAGTATAATAAGAACCTAAAGAGATTTTTGACGATTGATCTTCAGCAAAGAAAAGAAACAGTAATATTAATTTTTCATAGAACCTTTATCTTCTGAGTGATACCAGTCTGACAAAATAAAAAGAGTTGAAGAAATCTGAACCCGTGAGACAGCTCAGCACAGTTTATTCACTAGTTGCCTTTCAAATATTTTAGACTATGATTTAAAGTGTAACAGACAGCAGTGTTCACAAGTACACATTTGTATACATTTCTCAGCCTCCCTGAAAATTAAATTGGAGATATGTGTATCTTTTGGTAAATGGTCCACAAAAGCAAGTGGTTATTTTATTTCTGTTTCATGGTTCCTAATGCTAGTTAAAGGCTAATGTAAGTCCTATGTGCTTTTGTGAGAGAGATTTTAAGCTAGAAGCAAAGAGTATTGAGATAGAGTAGTCAGAAGGCAGAGGCATGCTGTATCTTTGAGGGTCTAAAAAGTAACCACAAAAGCAAGCAAGTAGGGGCTGGGGATTTAGCTCAGCGGCATAAGCGCCTGCCCTGCAAGCAGGCAGTCGTGAGTTCAATCCCCGGTACTGATAAAAAACAAACAAACAAAAAAAGACAAAAAAAAAAAAAAAAAAAAGCGAGCAAGTAGAATTTATGAGGCTTCATGGAAGTGACAGGTAAAATATTTTTTAAAAAATTTTAATTAATATATATTCAGCCAGCCATGGTAACACATGCCTGAAATCCTAGCAGTCAGGAGGCTGAAGCAAAATTGCTGTGAGTTCAAGGCCAGTCTCAGATACATAGCAAGAACTTGTCACACACGCACAAAAAAAAAAAACAAACATCAATACATGTTCACCATATTTAGTTTACATTCAGTACATAATGGACTACTATTCTGCCTTAAAGACAGATAAATTTATTTGCTGGACTATGGATATACTTTAAGATCATAATAAAACAAATAAGACACACAAGCTTAAATATCATTTAATATGTCTTATACAAGAAATGCAAAGTATAAATTTCAAAAAAACAATAAAAGATTCACAATAATTTTAAAAAACAAAATGAAAGGTCAATAGTAGGAGATGGAGATAGATGTAACTGTGAAAGGGAAATAGAGAGATGAGAGAAGAGGGTACAAGGGAGGGAAGGAGAATAAAAAGAATTCAGATATGTTAAGTACACGTGCTCTTATGTCAAGCTAGGAAGCAGGAAGACATTAGTAGGCCTGAGAGACTAAGAGAGAATTACAGGAGGAGTCTGAAGTAGCATTCTGCTCTAGTTCCAGTTCAGTGAAGAAATGAAGACTCAGTGTATAACACATTATGACCATTTATTAAGTTTCAGGCCCATGTAAGACTACACAGCACACAGTGGCATTTTAAGGTTATATATTGTACACTTTCACTCTCATACCAGGACTTCAAGTTCCCAAACAAGTCACACAGCATTTCTGACTGCCATGGCCGATGCCATGTGGTGCCTGAAAGAGGAACAGTCTGTAAGGATCTCCCCTTGTCAGACTAAGACCTGATTTAGTTAGAATTAGAATTTATCTATCATTAACGTCTTTCATAAGTTTTTAAAAATATGATTAAGGCCCCTAAGGGAACACTGACCACCTGAAAAAGAACAAGGAAAACATTTTCTTTTTTTGATGTTTTTAAAATTTTTTTATTTTAAAGAGATTAAGACAAAAAAGGACAGAACAAAGCAGATCAGAACAGAAAAATGTAAGCGAAACAGTACTTCACAAGATAACCCGATATTAACAGTAGCTACCATAATGTCTCTTTCTTTGAAATAGTTGAGCATACCTTCACATACAATAGTATCAAACATAACAAAACAGTATAAAACCATTCAAAAGAATGAAAGTATTACAGGGCATTCAGAACCAAATAACCAAAAATGAACAATGGCTACTATATTATTTCATTTTCCATAGAAAATTTGTTTATACTATCACACATAATACAAAAGAATAAGATGCAACATGATAGAACCAATGGAAATAGAAGAACAAAACCATGGTAGGACTTCAAAGCAATATGATATTAAATCAGCAATGGTTCTTATGTTTTGTTTTCTTCAAAACACCATCATACCATCACAGATAATAAAGTCAAACAAACCAGAATAAAACTAGTCCAACTAATGAATGAAAACATTACAAGGCTTCAAAGCAATGTAATGGGAAATCATGGTTACCATAAAATCTTATACACTCTTACCTTTGCTTGCACTATGGAAACTATACAGTATTTATACATGTGAGTTTGATTTATTTCACTTATGAGTATGGTCTCAAGTGGCATCCATTTATTTACAAATATCTCAGTGTGATCATTCTTTATAGCTGAGTAGTACTCCATTGTATAAAAATACCTCATCTTTCTTATCCATTCCTCATTTGATGGACACTTAGATTGTTTCCAAGATCTGGTTATCACAAATTGTGCTGCTATAAACATGGGTGCACATATATTACTGTGGTGTGATATTCTCATTTCTTCTGGGTATATGCCCAGAAGTAGAATAGCTGGCTCAAATGGGGCTTCTAATCCCAGCACTTTGAGCAATCTCCACAATGGCTACACCAGTCTACACTCCCACCAACAGTGCAGGAGAGTTCCATTTTCCCCACAGCCTCTCCAGCATTTGTTGTTGGTAGATTTCTTGATCCTGGACATTCTTTCAGGAGTAAGATGGAATCTCATTTCTCTAATGACTAATGATGATGAACATTTTTTTCATGTATTTATTTGCCCTTTGTATTTCTTCATCTGAGAACTTTGTATTCATTTCAGATGCTCATTTTTGGATTGGACCTTTGAAATTAGAGGGTCTGATTTTTTTTAATTCTCTATATGTTTTAGACAGAAGTCCTTTGTCTGTGTTCACTAAGGGGCAGTTCATGAAGATTGTTTCCCAGTTTGTGGGCTTTTTTGACATGCAGAAATTTTTAATAAGATGTGATACCAGTTATTGATTCTGGGAAGTATTTCCCATGCAGTTTGATTCCTGTTTATGAATTCTCTGCCTACCCCTATGTCTTCAAGATTTCTACCTAATTTGTCTTCCAACAGACTTAATGTTTCTGTTTTAATATTCAGATCTTTGATCTATTTAGATTTTAGTTTAGTAAATAGTGATAGGCATGAGTGTAGTTTTAGTTTTCCGCAAATGGAGAGCCAGTTTTTCCAGCACCATTTATTAAAGAGACTGTAGTTCTTCCAGTGAACATGTTTGGCCCCTTTATCAAAGATAAGGTGGTTGAGTGTGTTTGTAGTTGTGGTTGTCTCTTCTAATCTATTCCACTGATCTTCAGATCTGTTTTTATTCCAGTACCATGCTGATTTTATACAGTAGCTTTGTAGTAAAACTTCAAGACAGGGATTGTGATGCCTCCTGCCTTGCCTTTGCTGCTTAGAATTGCCTTTGCTTTCTAGATCTCTTCTGGTTCCAGATGAATTTTAGGAGTGATTTCTCTAGATCTATGAGGTATGTTGATGATATTTTCATTGAGATTTTGCATTGAATCTGTATACCAGTTTTTGAAAAATGACCTTTTTCACAATATTTATTCTTCCTACCCATGAACAAAGGATGTCTTTCCATTTTCTGAGATCATCTTCAATTTATTTTTTCAGGGTATTAGAATTTTCCCTGTATAGATCTTTTACTTCTTTCCTAAGGTTAATTCCTAAGTATTTCATTTGTTTGGATTAGTGTGAAGGGTGTGGCTTCTCTTATTTCTCTCTCCATGAATTTATTGTTAGTATATAGAAATGCTATTGATTTTTGAATATTAATTTTATATCCAGCTACATTGCTGAATTTATTTATTGTATCTAGGAATCTTTCAATGGAGTTTTGGGGGTCTTCTATGTAGAGTATTGTTGTAGTTAGGGGTTGTGTGAACAATTAGAATCAGGACATGGAGTTTATAATATTATTTTTATAATGGTCACTGGGAGTTAACACAAGAAAATGCAGGAAATCTATCGGCAACACCAAAGACATAGATTATTTAGTCAAGAGCCTAAATCCCACAGTAACGTCTCACATGAGTCCAGATAAAAACCCAGAGTTCATGACAATGTCTCCCATGAGTCCAAATGGAGGTCCAGAGCCCACAAGAAGGACTCACACCAGTCTCTTTTATGGATCCGTGCTGGGAAGACCAAAGGGTCAGTGGTGGAAGCCAGAAAGTCTATGCCAGCAAGGTGAAGGAGCTGTGCTAGTGGGATGAGGGTTCTATGCTGGAGCAGAGAAGTCACACTCACATCAAAGAGCGGGACTGTCCGAAAGGCACCACAGCCATCCTCAGTGATACAGAAGCCCCGAGCTCCTCCGATGATAAGCACAGTCGGGTATATTCGAGGAAGCAGTGTGTTGAGGTCATCCTAGAGACCAAGTGGCACATGTCTTCCTCTCTGGAGCCAGGAAGCAATGCTCCATGTGAGGACCAGAGCATCTCCATGAGAATCAATGGCTCAAACAGCAACTCATGGGAGAACCCACAGTGCCTCAGTGCAACAATGCATTAATGCATCAACACCCTCCACACCTCCCTTCTTCTTCACATATTTATCCTGGCAACTTTCCTCAGGTAGAGCATCTTCGCTCAATGCCATGCTGATGTAATCCAGCTGGCATTAAGTTGACCACCAGTTCTTAATCCATAACGTGTCATGTCATCTGCAAATAATGATAATTTAACTTCCTCTTTTTCTATCTTTACCCCTTTTATTTCTCTCTTTTGTCTAATTACTCTGGCTAGTATTTCCAGTACTATGTTGAATAGAAGCAGTGATAAGGGACATCCTTGTCTTGTGCCTAATTTTAAGGTAAAGGCCTTCAGGTTTTGGCCATTTAATATGATGCTGGCTGTTGGTTTATCATAGATGGTCTTTATCGTATTGAGGTAAAGACCATCTATTCCAATTTTCTGTAAGTTTCTTATCATGAATGATTGTTGGACCCTGTCAAAACCTTTTTCTGCATCTATAGAAATGATCATGTGATTTTTCACCTTTGCCTTTATTGATATGGTGGATTACATTTACTGATTTACATATGTTGAATCATCTTTGCACACCTGGGATGAACCCCACTTGGTTGTAGTGTATAATCTTCTTGATGAGTTGCTGCATCCTGTTTGCCAATTTTTATTGAGGATTTTTGCATCTATGTTCATTAGGGAGACTGGCCTGTAGTTCTCTTTGTTAGTCGAGTCTTTCTCAGGTTTGGCACTAGAGTAATATTTGCTTCCAGGAATGACTTAGGAAGAATTGCTTCCCTTTCAATTTCATTGAAGAGTTTGAGGAGTGTCGGCAGTAAGTCTTCTTGTATTTGTATTTCTTGTAGACTTCCACAGGGAATCCGTCTGGGCCTGGGCTCTTCTTTGTAGGTAAGGACTTAATTACATTTTCAATTTCTTTAATAGAAATTGGGTTACTCAGGAGTTTTACATCTTCTTGACCCAGCTTTGGTAGTTGAGTTTTCTAGGAATCTATCTATCTTTATCTTTCCATTCTGTTTGTCTGCCTTCCTTAGTGGTTTTTTCCTATGTGTATCTAAACTGTCTTTCAGTATTCTTTGCAGGGTTGGCGTGCAACCCTGTTCTGCAGCTGTTCTTTGTCATGGAAGTATCTTATTTCTCCATCTATTTTGAAGTACAGTTTTTCAGGGTACATCAGTCTAGGTTGGAAGTTGTTTTCCTTTAGGATCTGAAATACTTCCCTCCATGCTCTTCTTGATTTCATTGTTTGTGTTGAGAAGTCTGTGGTGATTCTGATAGGCTTTCTTTTATAGGTGATCTGTCTTTTCTTTCTAACAACTTTTAATATTCTAATGTTTGATTTTTCGGAAGGTGATTATTATATGTCTGAGTGTAGTTTTATTTTAGTTGTGGCTATTTGGAGTTCTGTATGCTTCACTAATCCTAATGTCAGTTTCCATTCTCATGTTTCAGAAATTTTCAGCTATTACTTTTGTAAATAGTCTCTTGATATCATTTGTGCTATCCCCTTTTCTTTTATCCCTATTAATCTTATATTGTTTTTCTTTGAATCATCTTTCAGCCATTGAATTGTTATTTTCCGATTCCTCATTATTTTTAAGAGATCTTTCCTTTCCTGTTCACTAACTGCAATCTTGTCCTCGAGGTCTGAAATTCTATCTTCACTTTCATTGAGGCAGTTTTGACAGCTTTCAATGGAATCTTTGATTTCCTGTATATTTCTTTGAATATGCTTCATGTATTCTGTTTGTTTCTTGTATTGTTCATCCAGGGATTCTATCTTTTTGTTTTGTTCCTCTAATTTTTTAACAGTGTCTTGTTTAGATGTGTTCAGCATCTCTTTCATTACTTTTATCATTTCTTCTTTGACCTGGGAGATTATTTCTAATTTGAATTCCTTTAAAGCTTCCCAGAGTTGCTTCTTTATTTCAGTTGCTAATATTTTATGTATTTCAGGTATGTGGCACACATTTTGTTCTATATACATGGCTCCTAGGCTTTCTTGGGATGGGCTGGAGTTTTGAGATTGCATTTAGTCTTTTGTCTTTCATTTTCCTATATTTTTGTGTTTCAAGTGATGTTCCAAAGCTTCCCTTGGGTGTGATGGAAATCGGCTCCTACAAGAACTGAATGGAGGTTGCTGAGCATGGTCCAGTTAGGCCCACAGGATTCCCATGACACCTCTGGTGTTCCAGGAAGCTGGGAGGTCTCCTAACCACTGTGGGTGATGGTCCAAAGCTCTACTGGGGCAAGCACTGATGTGCTGGAACTCACTTCATGTGTCCTTGGCTGCCCTGATTTTTTAATCTTTTTTGAACCAGGATTTCAATATGCAGTTCAGGCTGGTTTTGAACTCATTCTGTGGCCCAGGCTGGCCTCACACTCACAGCAATCCTCCTGGTTCAGCTTCTGGAGTGCTGGGCTTATAGGTGTGTGTCACTGCATCCAGCCTAAGGAAGACACTTTTGAGTTATCAACATTCCAAAATAATCTCCAAGAAAAATGCTTGTAAGCATCACAATCATCTGAAGTGATTCCTTAAGTCCCAGTTCCCTGAAGCCCAAGAGAAAACTGTGCCTAATAAGATTTCCACACCTGGGTATAGACATCTCCATGACATCACCATTTTTTTGAAGGCATAAATCTCTATATCTGTTTTGAAGTAAGTTCTACTGTACTTCTGCATGACTGCCTATGTCTCCCCGCACTCCTTTTGACACAGAGTTTCATTATGTAGTTGAGGCTGGCCTTAAACTCACTTTATTACCCAAACTGGCCTTTAACTTGCAGTTAGCCTCTTGTCTCAGCCCCCCAAGTGCTGGGATTACAGGCATGCACTACCACACCTGTCTGCCTATGTGTTTTGACTGAAGTCTTTTGTCAAAGGTACAAAGAACTGAGGAGTCATGGCCTGGTTCCTTAGTGTATCAGGATCTGGCTTCTTGGTGACAAAGTGCCAAATATTGGCGGTTAAAGTATGGTATGTTATCACAATTCAGCCTAGTCTAGCTCATCCAGATTAATACACTTAATAATAAATGCATTTTACATCTTGACTCGGTGTGTGTATGTACAACTGAATCAAATTTTAAAATATGCCATCGCTTGCCAGGCATGATGACACATGTCTGTAGTCCCAGCACTTGGGAGGCTGAGGTAGGAGGCTCACTGCAAGTATGAGGCCAGCCTGGGCTACATATAAGTTCATAGCCAATCTAAGCTACGTTGTGAGAAACTCTCTCAAAAAAACAAAACCAACCAAAAAACATATATCGATATGAATATGGATATAGATAAATACCTTTTTGATATTTCTGATGTGCCTAATATTTTCTATTTCACTTAGGAAAATTGTTATCAATTTTACCACACCCTAATTGGTCTCCACCCACAAGAGAAAATTTTTAAATTCCCTCAGAACTCTGATTATCCATGAATAACCACCAGGTATGTCCAATCATTTAAAAAAGAAAGCTTTAACAGCAATGTTACAGAAATACAAATGATAAATACAAGGGCCAGGGATTTAGCTCAGCGATATAAGCGTTGGCCTGACAAGCATGAGGTCATGAGTTCAATCCTCAGTACAAAAAAAAAGCTAAATGCAAAACATTGTTTTATCTTGTAAACTGTTTTATTTCCCCAGCACTTCAACCTGGGACATATATGTGTATATATGTTTTTGGATGTCTTGCAACAGTGGTTTCATGGCATTAAAACGTGGCTGCACTTTCTCACTGTAAAAGACGCCTGTATGCCACCCAGTACTCTTGAGAGGCTGAGGCAAGAGGATCACAAATTCCAGACTAGTCTGGACAATGTGACTTTGTGAGTTTTTTTATTCTTTGCTAAAAACAAAAACAAAAAAAGTACCTTTTATCACTCAGCTAATAGGTCAAACAATAAATAATAAAGCAGAGTTGAAGGATGTTACTTGGTACCTTAGGCCCTGCGGTCCATTCCCAGTATTGGACAGCGGAAGTGTAGGGTGGGGACTGACGCACTGAGACGCCAAATCATTCTCAATTATTTCTTTCCACTTGCAGGAATAAGTCACAAGCTCTTACACTTTCGTAAAGCGCTAAAGTACAGGACAACAGGATGACAAGACACCAAACTGGGCCACTTCTTACTACAGTGGATGCCGCGGTGAAGACCAAAGAGCAAGCAGTCCAAGTTCTCGGCAGCGATCCAGAAGCTGTCGCGAGAGCCTGCCCTCGCGCGAGCTTTCGTGAGCACTAGTTCCGGTGTCCTACTCTCCCACAGCCAAACCGAAAGCTTGCGGTTTTAGCCCGTACTGCGGGGCGGGCCGGAACTGTTCTCTGTAGGAACGGTTTACGCAGTCCCATGTTGCCAGCCGGCGGCAAGGAAATCAGGGTGTCACAGTCTTCCTCTCGCTGTTGCCGCCGCGGAGAGGAGCTTAGCCGACCCGATCGAGGAGCACGGTTACCCGACGGGCTGGGTCTATGGTCGTTCCGCGGCCCGCTCCGCCAGCTGGTGCTTTTTTATTAGGGCGCGCTGTGCTCCATGGCAGGGAACTTTTGGCAGAGCTCCCACTAGTAAGTGATCGTCGATCTTCCCGGCAGGGGCCCGTCCTTGGGGGCGGTGAGGACAGGGCCTGTGACTCCCCCTGGGCCTGGATCCCAACTCCGGTCCCCGGAGATCTCGGGAAGCTGCAGAACCGGAAATAAAATGGGCTTTTTTGGGGAGACTCCTCGGCCCGGCAGAGCGGGGCTTGGGGGAGGGATAGTTGTGAATCTGAAGAATGTGGGGGAGGGTCGAGTCCCCGGGAAGGAAGACTGGGGTGTTTAATTTGGTCCTGGGATTGGCTTGGCGGGACCTGGGGGGTGTGAGGCGAGCACGCTTACGGGAAGTGTGTGCGTCTCGGTTTGGGGCTGTGAGATGGCCTCTTCTGAACAGTTGGCTTGCTTTTGCTTGGAGTTTACTCAGGGGAACAGCATTGTGTTCTTTTGTCATTCACTTTCTGTCGTGAGTGGGTTAATATTCCGAGGAGAGGAGGGAGTCAGGCTTGTTTGTGCCTGTGAGCCGCTTCCGGCTACTGCTTTGTACCTAGGAGTTTGTTTCCTGTTGATAATATTAGGCATGTGCGCTCAGAATTCTTCATATTAGTAGCTCGTGTCTTATATTTTGTTCTAGTGATTTTGCCTGATATTTCCTAGTAATTTTGCCTGTTCTTTCAACCTTTTTCGTGAATAAGTTTGTTTATTCAGTAATTTATAAAGAGCTGGTATAATATTAAGAACAGCTCTACATTTGCGTGAGCGAGGTATGGTGTGATAGGGTTAAACACTACTGGGCTTTCTACTGTACAGGTGAATGATGAACAGAACTTCATGAAGATAATTTTAGTGTAAAATTTTAATGGTAAGAGCATTAATATTTAAATTTTTATTCTGTGAATAGGATTGGGGTCTGTTCATTTTTTTTCCCACCCATTGCATGAAGAGGAAAAAAAAGCAATACATTTGGAGTTTTTCTAAAGGCATGTTTTCGACTTGCTAGAAAGTGATTCTATGGAAATGAAGTCCTATAAGTGCTTTATTACTTACTGATCGTCTCATTTTTTTATTTTGCATTGTTCTTACTGAAACATTTCCCTGGGTAGAGTTGAAACAGAAATTTAAACGGGAAAAACTGAAACTTTAAAAGAAACTAAGAGAAGAGACAGGTAGCCAGGTATTTTTCAATTTTAAAAGAAGATCATCTCTTTTGGGGGGGTATCAGGAATCATACTCAGGACCTTGTGTTTACCAGGCAGGCACTTGTGCCTCAGAACTATATCCCCAGCTCTAGGAGCATTTCCTTACGCTTTCATTACTGAGAGCGTTATTGTTATTATTTAGGTAGGGTTCTTCTGTGTAGTTCAGGCTGGCCTTGAACTCACTGTGTAGCCCAGGCTGGCCTCAAGCTAATCCTGCCTTAGCCTCAGCTGTATTTCATGCCTCTGAGATACACGTTTTCTTACACCTGGAATGTGGCAGTTTTTTCACAGTGACGCATGAAAATAAGGTACGATATAATGTTAAAATGGCTAAAATGCAACTTTTATAAATCTTGGTTTAGTCTCCATGAAAAATAATATGAGGAAAACTTGAAACATTGTGAAATTTATCTTTAAAAACTAAAATGACTGTGGAGATGAAACTATTGAGCAAAATCACAATATCTTCAATTTTAGAAAATTTAAGTAGAAGGGGTTGGGGATTTAGTTTAGCAGCCTAAGCACCTGTTTTGCAAGTGCATGGTCGTGAGTTCTGTCCGTGGTACCACAAAAAAAAAAAAGAATTTTCTTAAGAAAATTTAAGTAGAACAAAATCTGACTAAAATGCAGTCAAACCAGAAGGGCACTAAGCATTTTCTAGTTGATTAGGTTAATGAACAGGTTACAAAAATGAACACCCATTATAAAAAATAGTTATATTAGATTAACAGTGTACAGAACAATTGTATTTGGCCCATCAAGGCCAGGGTGATGTTTGACCTCATAAGTAAACTTCGGAGGAAAAAGTGATGTTACTTTGCCTTCAAGTATTTGAAGGATTGGATGTAATACCAAATATGATAAGGGACAAATGAGCCATTAATAGGAATGGAAACTGAGGTGACCTTTTTAGGGGGCAAACTGACAGTTTGCATTAAAATTAGCACCAAAGTTGATCCATTAGTTCTGCATTTAGGAAATTATTTAAAATATATTATTGTTTAATGTGACTTGAATTTGTGAATGAGGAAAATTAAATACCCTCCTTACTCATGAACAGTTGAGAATAGACTTCATCAATCTAAGCCATCATCAATTGATGCTAAGTAATTTCACCATATTATGTATCACACACAAAAAATAATCATGCTGTTAATTGAGATGCTAAAACATTGCTTTTTCCCGTCTCCCCTGGCAATAAATACTTTAATGAGAACCAAATTCTATAACATACATTCCAGTCTCAGCCTACATTGGCTTTTACGAAAATCTGAGCCAACCAGCTTCATTTAACCCTCATTTGGAAACCCTTCAGCATCCATCTTCACAGGAGATACCAGTGTGGTGCTCGAGGTGTAATGTGAACACATCCTCTCTGGAAGTTCATGGGCAAAGCTGAACCATCCTATTCTTCTGTCAGGAGGACTGGGAGAACACTGGTTCAGTAAACACAACTTTGTTAAAATACAAAGAACACCAAAAAAGGGTAAAGAAAAATAGTAGAAAGGTTGTCAGAGCTGGGCTGTCATATATCCAGTTCTTAGGTTTGAAGCCTCTCATACTGCTCATATGTAGTTTTTAAAAAATGATGTTCCAGGGTCCAGATCAAAGCAAATTTGGCCAAAATCCTTTATAGAGTACAAATAAGGCCCTTCGTGTTACCCTGTAGAGGCCTACATGCCCTACAGTTGTCATGTGAGTTTGTATCACGTCAACTGGATTGGACAACAGAGGCCCAGCCACATTGCATTCAAAGCTGGAAACAGTGAATCAAAATTGTGTTACCCATAATTCCTGACAGTATTAGGTGCTTCTAGTAATATCATAGACTGGAACTGTACTCCTGCAACAATGTGACCACACCTCTCCACAAACCCTGATGCCCTTTCATTGGTTTGTATAATGAAGCTGCCAATCATACTACCTTGGAACAAGCTTCTTTGAGCCTGCATTTGAATCTTTAGAACATCAGTGTGGTTGGCAATAGTGGAAGATACCACTCCCAACAGTACCCCACAAATCATATCACTTAAGAGAATTTCATTGAAAGGCTCTCCAGGTGTTCTCAACCACCCGGTAGCCCCGTGTCTCAGTAAAGCAGGAGCAACACACCTTCTTTATAGATTTGGAAGAAGGCATAGAACAGTCTTCCATATTTTATCTCTTTGAAACAAACATCAATACTTTGGCCATGTACTTGAAGTGGTGTTTTGTTACGTTCCACAGGGAAAGTTCCAAACAGCAGCAACCAGGGATGGTGGCACACACCTGTAATCCCAGCTTTTGAGAGGCCGAGCCAGGATTACTGTGAGCTCAAATCCTACCTGAGCTACACAGTGAGTTCAAGGCCTACTTGAATTACCTAGTGAGACACTGTCCTTCCCCCCCCCGCCAAATATAAGCAAATAAACTCAGCAATAATAGAGGGAAAGGCCTGTCGTCGTGGTGCACACCTGTGATCCCAGCTCTCGAGAGCCTTAGGCAAGAGGATTGCTGCCAGTTCAAGGCCAGCCTGGACTACAAAATGAGTTCAAGACCAGCCTGAACTGCATAGTGAAACCCTGTCTCAAAAAGAAAGAAAAAAAAATAGAAGCAAGGCCACTATATACAGAGGGTTTCCAAATCAGACCAAACATCTCATGGCTTACAGTGGCACTTTTCTGGTGTTGTTTCGGTCTTTAGGTGACTTAAATGTTGCTGTTTAAGTTGGATCTTGATATTAGAGTGTTAGAATCAATCCAGTACAATACAATAGAAAGAGACTAGAAAGAAGGAAAATATTAGAGGATAATTTTTTTCAGAGCATATTTATATTTATTAGTGAGATAATTCTTACTAATTTACTTTTTCAGAAACATGAGAAATACTGTCTTGGTACTTTGCTTCTCAGAATATGAACGAACCTGTTTAGTCTGAGTGTTTTCTATGTTTGCTTATTGATTTTGCATCAAGCATATCTTAACATCTTTACTTCCTCTAGTTTGCAGTGGATTTTGGATAAACAAGATCTATTGAAGGAGCGCCAAAAGGATTTAAAGTTTCTCTCAGAAGAAGAGTATTGGAAATTACAGATATTTTTTACAAATGGTAATTTTTTTAATTGATTAAAGTAGTACAGTTGCCTAGGAATCAAACTCAGGACCTCACTGGCTAGGCAGATGTTATGCCATCAGGCTAAATCCCTGGCCTTGTATGATAATTTTTGATGAACTATTATAGTCTATACTTAACAGTTTTTATTTATACATGGATTTTTTTTACAACTTCTTCATTTATCTTTTTTGTGATCTAGTTTTCATGAATTTTACATGCCAGAGGCACTAAAGACAGTGTGATAATGCTAACTAATCTTAAGCCTTTGTGAATCAACTGACAGATTGATTAAAGGAAAGTACTGTGAGAACAAATTGTCATTTTTACCTCAGGGCTTTACTTTGGAGGGAAAGGGACTTAATCAGAAAAGTTTTACTCTCCCATATAATAACTTGCAGGTGAGATAGTGGTCCTTCTAACCTCAGTCACTCTTGCACACCGACCTCTGTTGTGAGAATTCATTACGTAGTTATAAATGTGTTTTCTTTTTTATATTTATTATAAAGGTAATATGAAAAGCACTAAAATATTTAGAAGATGGGGGGAATAGCTATCATTTAGCTTCCTTACTCAAGAATTTTTCTCATAGGACAGCTCTTTTTTGTTTGGCTGTTTATGTGTATTGTTATATTTTTAACAAGTGTGTAGATCCTAGTATTAGACCAGTGTAAATCAAGTAGAGCTGTATAGTATGAATAGATTTTCCCCTTTGTTAAAAATAGATACAGTCATGATTTAAACATATGAAAATTGTTATTCAAGATTAATAAATTTTTTGTGGGGGGGTGCTGGGGATTGAACTCATGAGCTTGCACTTACCAGGCAGGCACTCATGCCACTGAGCTAAATTCCCGGCCCCTAGTGTTAATAAAATTATACTGGGTGTACATTTTAAACTTTTGTTTTCTTTTTAGTTATCCAAGCATTGGGTGAACATCTTAAATTAAGACAACAAGTTATTGCCACTGCTACAGTCTATTTCAAGAGATTCTATGCCAGGTAGGAGTATCATTTTGGGAATGTGTTACGCCTATTTGAAGCTCTTTTTAGTGCTCATAAACCTTAGTATAAATGAATCAGTTGTTAGTCATAGATTTAGTGTAATGTTTTTGCTAGTGTATTTTCTAAATGGGTAACATTTATTTTGTTTTATCACATTTTAGGTATTCCCTGAAAAGTATAGATCCTGTATTAATGGCTCCTACATGTGTGTTTTTGGCATCCAAAGTAGAGGTATAAACAGTTTTCTATTCATGAAAGTATAGTCAATGTCTGTTGGTGAATCTGCTCCAGCTTTTACACTGCTGTGTATAAGGATAATAATAGATGGTAATTTGTGCTTACTAATGAAGTTGTACAAATTCCAAAACATATATACATGTGTTTATGTAGTTATTTAGTAAGCATCACTATGTATCAGCTGCTTTTCTAAGTCCTTTTACAAATACTAACTTAATTTTCATAACTGGAAATACATACTAGTAGTATCTCCCTTTTATAATGAGGCAACTGAAGCAAAAAAAAAAAGAAAGAAAGAAAGAAAAACTAAGAACTTACTTACTTATTTATTTATTTATTTATGTGTTTCTTTTAATACCTAGAGTCAAACTCAATGACCTTGCACTTGCCAGAAAGGTGCTGTGATCTGAGCTATATCCCTGGCCCTGAGAACTTGTTTAAACTAAGCATGGTAGTTCAAGCTTATAATCCCAGCACTCAGAAGCCTAAAATGAGGATTGCCACAAATTTAGAGCCAGCCTTGACATAGTGAGTTTAGGGCTACCCTGAACTGCATAGCAAGAGGCTGTCTGCAAAAATATTCACCAATATAGGTAGTAAATGGCAGTGCTAGTCTTTGAACCTTAGGAGTCCAGCTCTTACTCTTTATGTTCTAAATTTCTTGGCTGCTGCCTTGAAGACATTGTTTGGCACGGAGCAGTATTTCCACAGCTTTCCTCCAGTAACCTGACACTGTTCTACCTGTGTGCCTCTTATTTCCTGGTGTCATCTTCCCTGCCTCCTGCCATTTGCTAACCCAGCCATAGGAAAAACAAAACAGAAGGCAAAGATTGGGAATATAGACTTGAACAAAGAAAAATCTGAATAGTGAGGATAGAAAAATTAGGTGAAAAGAATAAAGGAATTTGGATAAGAGTGATTATCTGTTCAATTTACCTTTTCAGTATTTTTGAAAGAGCTCAGTTCATAGCTAAAATCCAAACAATAATAGCAGTTTTTATGAAAATTGACCATTTTCTTTAATGTTATAAAACCCTTGTATAATGTTTCTATTTTCAAATAATGTCTTTAGAATAGTAGTTGTATTCTAAAATATCAAATCTGATTTTAGCCTAGTTAATTTGTACTCCTTTTGTACCCATTTTGATTTAGTACTGATATAGCCATTATTCAGGATTATCCATGATACCTTTCGCAACTATTACATAAACTATGAGATTGATTATATTAGAAATAATGTTAGCCAGACATGGTGCATACCTGTAATATCAGCTTTCAGGAGGCTGAGGCAGAAAGATCATTGTAAGTTCAAGACCAGCCAGGGCTACAAAGTGAGCTCAAGGCCAACATGAACTGCATTAGCAAGACCCTATCTCAAAAAGACAAAAAAAGCAAAAAATAAATAATATTAAGTGCCAGGCATGATGGTTTATGCCTATAATCCTAGCACTCAGGAGGCTAAAGCAGGAGGGTCATAAGTTCGAGGCCAGTTTGGGTCACATAGTGAACTCAAGGCCAGCCTGAACTACACAGCAAGACCTTGTCTCAAAAAAAAAAAAAAAGTTTTATTAAGAAAAAAATTTTAGAGGTTTTTATCTCTGGTCGAATTTTTCTGTTTTGTTCAGATGTATGAAAGTGATATACAAATTGTATGTAAGCTATATCAGGCTTTTAATTTTTATTTTCACTTAGCTATAGTTAGAAGTTTAAATGTAAATTTATATATTACATACATTTGCCCTGCATAGGATAGGACTATGGAATGAAAGTATTTAAATAGTTTTTATTTTAGTTTCTTTTATTGGGTGAGGAACCAGTTCTTAATTTTTCTGTATATTAGGTTGGAAGAAGAAATATGAATGAACTTTGGAAGTCTTGTATTCTTGATCTCTGTTCCCAAAAAGATAATAGGTGTTTGTAATGATCTTTTGAGTTCTTTTTAGTGATACTAAAGTTTACCTTAGTTAAGATATCATCTTATTATTAAATGAGATAAAGTCACTATCTAGGTTCAACTGAGTAAGAAGCATACTTAATATTTATTCTTATAGATATGTAAAATCTAAACAGTCTTGGAAATTATAAGTGTAGAAAACTAGCATTGTCACTTTAGGGCTTTTGGTACCTTTTCAGATTAAATTATAAAATTGTTTAAAAGTTCATCTTAAATTGTATTAGTTTTCAGGAGAAGTAGTGCATTTGGAAATTTAAATACTTCATACCTCAAGTAGGTAGAAACTGACCAGCTTATAAATATAGGGGAAATGCTTTATTTTGAACAGACCAAATATCCTTAGGTTAACAAATAAAGAGCTAACATATACGTCATTTCATCTGCTTTTTTTACATAGGAGTTTGGGGTAGTTTCGAATGCAAGATTGACTGCTGCTGCTACTTCTGTATGTAAGTGAAAAGTATATCGCTCTTTCCAAAGAAGGCTGTGTATGAGACATGTCAGGGATTGGTCGCAGTTATTACGGCTCTCAAGAATATCTTTATGACTAGAACATTTGGCAAAAAATAAAATTAGAAAAGAAGCTGTTTATAACCACTTAAATGATTATCTTATGACTATTTTTAATGTTAAAAATGAATCGTAGCTATCCAAAAACATTAACTCAGTGGCTCTTATTTTATAAAGGTGGAGAAAAATTTCATTTCTTAATTTTATTTTATTTGTTACTTCCTAATGACCAATATTATTTCATTTTTATAATTTTAATGATTTCTTTTGCAACTGTAATGTATATCTTTGGGAGTTTTACATTTTCAAACCTTGAAACAAAAATACAGTATAGGAAAAAAATGCTGTGTCTGTAGTAAATCAAGCTAACTTTGAAGCCCTAGTTCTGTCTCAGTATCTGTGTTCTCCACTTGGTAATGTGGTTCTTTATCTGAAAAGATGGGGTTTACTTAGCTGTGAATCATGACATTAACAAAACTAACATTGTAAAGTAACAGTTAGCTCTGTATACCAGATAATGACTTTATGCTATGGACCATCTTTACAGATGCAGGGAAAAGGCATTACCTAGCAAAAAACAGATCAGACTTTTAATTTGATTTTCTGTAATCTATTCAGGTAGAAGATTGCATTTTGTGTTTTAAGTTTGTGAGCCTTGCTGATTTTTGTATTTTGGTTTCATTCTCCTTTTTGAGAGGTGTATAATCAATGTTTTCCATGTCATATCTTAATTCTTAATCCACTTTACAAATGAAAGCGATCACAAAAAAGATCATCTAGAACAGTCCATAGTTATTTGATTGAATTAATTGATGAACTATGATGGCTTTATTATATTTTTTGACATAATAGATACAAAAGTTCAGAAAGGATAGATTAATTGCAAAATCATTTCATCTTATAGATAACCACTAACATTCAGGGAATGTTATCCTTCCATCCTATAATTTTTTATGTTTTTTTAATATATAGCATTTGTAAACACTTTAGAAGAAATGACTCCTACATTACTGAATGACAGACCAGTCACAGTCAGTAATTTTTTTTTTCAATTTTTTAATTTATTGTTTTGAGCGACAGAACTTTTTATGAGTCTTTCATTGTATAGGTGGGGGCATATAGATTCCTGACGTCCAGCCTTTTTCCTCCACTGGAAACAAATATCTAGATCCTTAAGCATTGTCATGGGTGCCTACTTGGAAATGATTCAGCCTTGTCCTCTAATACTCTACACCTGGGGTAGTAAACCTTTCATAGCTTTCAGAGATAAAAACAGCCCACTGCAGCACGCAAGCCATAGGTGCACTACCTCTGTATGCTATGTTGAAAGAATTTTGGTTTAATTCACTTTTACATTTTTCTAGTTTAAATTGTTGTTGTTTGTTTTCTGCAGTAAAAACTAGATTTTCATATGCCTTCCCAAAGGAATTTCCTTACAGGATGAATCATGTAAGTATATTGTATTAAAAAAAAAAAACACTTGTCAAAATTATATATAAATTAGCTCCTTTTTAATATTAGGATAAACCTAATAGTCTCCTAGAAATGCCACCTTTAAATAATACAAGAATATAGGTATTCAAATTCATGTAGACATTCATATTATTTCTATCACATTTGTAGATATTCCTATTCGTTTGTTAATTTATATTACTAAAGCTGAATAGCTTCTATTTCTTTAAATCACCTTGAGAACTTTTTAATGATACTTACATTGAGACCTCTCCAGACAAACTACAGTCTCTGGCATTAATGGTTTCTAAAAGCTCCTGGGTTTAGGGAAGTAGTTCACTGGCAGATCTCTAACCTTGCACATGCAAGGGCATGTGTTTGGGTCCTTAGCAATGGGAAAAAATTGAAAATAAGGCTGGGCATAGTAGCACACACCTGACTCCTAGCTACTCAAGAGACTGAAGGAGATTCACAAGTTTGGCCCTAGCACAGGGAAACTTAGTGAGATCTTATCTCAAAATTAGAAGTGGAAAGATCTGAGGATATAACTCAGTGTGAGCCTCTGGGTTTAATCCCCAGTAGCACAGTAAGTAAATATGTGAAGTTTTTACTGAACATTTTAAATAAAAATGAGTAATAAGAATCCTGGGATTAGGGATGAAACTCTGCTGGGATGTGGGCTTAGCATATGTGAGAATTTAGTTTAATCCCAAGCAAAAAAACCCTCCTTATAGGAGGCTTGGTTTTCCTCCTCAGGGTTTAAATGCTTTATAATCATAATTTTATGAATTTTAGAATAAATGAAACTAACTTATTCTATTTGTTATGAATGACTATTTTCTTCATTTAAATTTTTTAGGAAATTATGATAATGTCTATAATTTATGTTACTGAGTAGGAATCTTGTAACTGACACTAATGTCTTTTTAACAGATACTAGAATGTGAATTCTATCTTTTAGAACTAATGGTAAGTGTTTTCTTTCTTGTGACTAATAAAATGTATTTTTAAAATCAGAAGTTAATTAATGAAATGATTTCTAGGGAGATACATTTTAAAACCATCTAAGAAGTATGTCATGTGATGGTGAAATCATAATGGCGTAGTAACATTATCACCCATCTCCTCTCTGAAACCTGTAAAATAATTTGTATATTCTACTCCAGATGGAAAAAATACTCTGTTCTGTGGTAACGATAATACAAGATTATAAGCAAACAAGTCAGGACATGAAGCCACTGTAAATAATGTACACAATTTGTGTATGTGTGGTTTATTTAAAGATAGATTGTCTTTGGCGGAATTCTGCTCCTCCAGTTGGGGATTATGGATTTATAGGCTAATAAGAGGTTTCAGTGTGTTGCAGATGTGACACTTTGAGTCTCTAAGGGAATGAATGGATGCTGACTGACTGCCAACCGGTTTACCAAGGTATATTTCAGAGAGAGCCCTGCTTTCTCTATTACAATAGAGTAGGGCTGCCATAGGGCTTGCCTGTGAGACTAGAAAGGAAGCAAGCATGAGGCAGAGAAATTGATTTTGAAATACACAATTACAAATCAGTTGGGTAATGATAATCGTTTTTGTGTTGTAATAAATCTGTTTTTATACATACACATTTTTTAAACTGTTTCTAGGATTGTTGCTTGATAGTGTATCATCCTTATAGACCTTTGCTCCAGTATGTGCAGGACATGGGCCAAGAAGACATGTTGCTTCCCCTTGCATGGTAATTAGAACAGAAGTTATTAATAGTGTGACACGTTAATCAGAGAGGGAGGCTGACTACTAAATGTGAAGTTCAGTATTTTTAAAGTCATTAAACTAGTACCCCAAGATATTTTTCATTGAGCAAAATACTTGTCTATTGAATTTTAATAACTATAGTAGTATAAATGCTCAAATAATAAGCATTGTATATTTTTACTAAATATCCCTGTTAAAATTTGATTTGTACGAATAAGGCTATTTACACAAAAATTAGAAGCAAATTTATCTTTAGCAGCATATTTTTAATAGTGTTCACCATCCATATACATTTTTATATTTTTTTTAAATTTGATTTTCAAATTTTTTAAAAAGTTATAAGCTGGGTGTGATGGTACATGCCTGTAATCCCAGCACTCAGGAGGCCTAGGCAGGAGGATGGCAATGAGTTTAAAGCCAACCTGGACTACATAATGAATTAATACCAGCTTGAACTACTAGCAAGAATTTGTCTCAAAAATGGGGCTGGGGATTTAGCTCAGTGGCATAAGCACCTGTCTTGCAAGCAGGCAGTCGTGAGTTCGATCCCCGGTACAGATAAAAAGGAAAAAGACAAAAAAAAATTTTTTTTAAAAAGAATTTGTCTCAAAAACCAAAACAAAAAGATTACATATGTATTTACTTAAAACTGTAATTATGAAGTTTGAGAACTTCAAGTGTATTTTATCCATTAATATGTAAATTTTCTGTTCAGTAATGTGTGCTTGTTTGTTGTTACATTTGTGCATCCATCCTTTTGCCTTGATGTTTTCATTTTTGTAGCTGTGCTCAATAATGGAAAAGGGGAAAAAAGTGTACAAAGATGGGAAATGTGACTCTCTCTGGGAGGACAGGTACAGCAAATACAGTAGTTCTCCTGTCAGTAATAATACGGTTTGCATTCCTGTAGGAGGATAGTGAACGACACTTACAGAACGGACCTTTGCCTACTGTACCCCCCTTTCATGATAGCTTTAGGTAGGTGAGCATGCTGTGCCTTTGTTGTTTACATTGTTATAAACCCACGTAGGTTTCATGGAATAAATTGCATTCTATTTTCACTTGGTTTTTGTGTTCCATGAAGTAATAGACTAATCCTTGTATGTGAAATTTTCATCATATGAATTGCAACTGGCACAAATCAGGATTATTGCTCTGCCTCACCCCCCCATTTTGGCAAGGTTTGGGGGGTTTTTTAATCCTTTAAAATAATTTTGATCTACCTAAATAGAACATTTTCTTTTGCTTACAGACAGAAGCTCAAAAGTAAACCTGCTAATATCAGTTAAATTAGCTTATAACTGGGCCTGTTGTTCAATTCTTGAGCCCAGTTAGGTACTCAGGTGATGAGTGAAAAAGTATCTTTGATCTTGTCCTGCTCTTAAAGGTTGCCAGCCGTGTCATTGTCTGGGGAAGGCAGAGCAATAATAGGTCAGAGCTCAGTCTCTGCAGTTATGGGGTCTTCAGGTTAAACTTTGAATCCTTTATGGTTGTGAGGAAATTATTGAACCTCACTGAGTTTATTTCCTTCAGGGATACTAATAACTTCAAATAGAGTCATTTCAAGTCCCTAAATGAGGTAGCCAGCGCCTGCTAAGCAGTGCCCTAGCATGTGTTAGCCTCTGTGGCTTTCACTGCATCTGTGTTTATGACTCAGTCCTCTTTAGTTTTCCCTGTTCTTTAACTTTTATTGGTTTTCTTTTTCAATTATTCCTTAAATGATGATATTTTTTAGCCTTCTTACATCAGGTCCAACAAATAGGTGTTACTTATACTTCTGTAGCACTGGCAGCTCTTACACTGTACTGCATATGGAGAGATTCCAGAGTCGTGTCTGGGTTCAGTGGAAAGAAGTGCTGGGACCTGATAGGTAGGGAAGGGGATATAATACCACATATGCCATGGCTTTGCTTCCCTGTAGCCTTCATTCTTGTAGGTAGTGTCCCTGAGGCTTCTACCTTCCTCTGCTTGCCAAGACTTGAATCTATTTATTTAGCCAAGATCTTGTTTGTAGCATTTTTTTTATATCCATGAGTAGTACACAGCAAATGAGCAGAGAGCAAGAACCTTAATGTAGTCTGGTATTTTTTTCTACCTATTTCAGATTAAATTCATGAGATGGTCAATGATAATCCCTAAATACAGCTATATAAATATTTAAAATACTATTAGGAAATGTATATGAAATCTGTGAGATGTTTCCAGTTAAGTATGAGCAGTTATCCCTCATTTTCATTGCAGCTTCTCTACATGTAGCCTCTGTGGTACAGCAGAAAGATGCCAGGCAGTGGTTTGCTGAGCTTTCTGTGGATATGGAAAAGGTATTCTTTAAAATTATTTAACTTAGCCACTTGAAAATTCATGTTGTTTTTATGTCATGAGCCTACTAAGCTGCTCATCAGACTAAGATTATTGGTTTAAAAATGTCAAACACGTGTTTGGTAAGAAGAGTTGATGTTGAGTAGTTGTTTTTGGCTTAGGGTTAAACAATGGTAAAATTTTGGTTTGATTGCAAAGTAACCTCTGACATCCAGGATTATTTTAGAAAGCTTCCTAGTGACTATTAAATGCTATTTGTGAATTTTTGTAGAATAGTGTATCCCTGACAAAATGATGTTTGCTCTGTATTCACCTTTTCTGCTGGTATGTATTACCAGAAGACTCAGAATTACTTGGAAAATTAATCCAAGGCTAGGTTTACTTAGGTCAGAAAGAAAGAGCTAAATTGGAGACTGGATTGGCAGGTTGTAGCTGCCACTTCATCTTAATTTACATGTAGAATAATGAAAAGAGAATCAAAACAATGTCTTGTATGTACTACCGCCCCTTAAATTATTTATGTTTTTGTTTTTTGAGACGGGGTCCCACTATGTAGCCCAGGCTGATCTGGAACTCAAGGCAATTCTCCTGCCTCAGCTTCCCGAGTGGTGGGATTACAAACATGTGCCACCATGACCAGCTTTCCCTTAAATTACTTTTGAAACAATTGGTTTTAGAGGAATATGCTCTATTATAGCAGATCCCCTCATGAGTAGAATCTTTGTTTGGAGTGAAGGGGAAACAACTGATACAGGGTGAAGTGGCTAGGGCAGACACGCTATAAGGTGAGACACTGAGAGGAGACGCCCAAGCAGCAGGAAGGTGAAAACACCGCTTCCAGATTTGTTGAGATCAGCTAACCTAGCAGAGTACTTATAGACAGAGACTTTTAACCGTTTTTTATTTACTAACTGTTGCTTGTTTTTGCCACTGAGAATTTTTCAAATATTTTCTTCTAGATTTTGGAAATAATCAGGGTTATTTTAAAACTATATGAGCAGTGGAAGAATTTTGATGAGCGAAAAGAGATGGCAACTATTCTTAGTAAGATGCCAAAACCAAAACCACCTCCAAACAGGTACTTTGTAGACATTTAATTATTGCTCTCACTTTATATATTGTGTTCCTTTCTGATCTTTCTTAGATTATTTCTCTATTCATTTCTTAAAACTTCTACCAGAACTTCATAATTCATGTTAATTTTTTAAATTTGTGACTTGACAGATTGAAAATGTCTCATTTAAAAAAACCTTTATCTGACCATGTATTTAGTAACTTGCTAATGTATTGGAGGTCTATTACAGGTATCCCTCAACATATAGCTATATCTTGTACATAAACTCAACTAGTTCTGTATCAGTTTGTCTCTGTGCCTTCTTTTTTTATTCCTTCTCCCCTACTACTGGCTGTTACTCTATTTTATAAATTTCGGTAGCAGTTTTCATAAATTTTGATGAGTGATCTGATATGATACAGATAAAGAATTTTGGCTTTGAATGACCCTCTGATCCACAGCACACAATAACCTAAGTTTGCTAAATATGAATCACCTATGCTAAGAGATTTGTTGTTGTTTTAAGTAAGAACTGTTTGTTTAATTCAGTGGTTCTGAGCCCTCGAAGTATATCTATTATCAGATATTTGAAATAGGGAAAAAAGGTGAGAAGGAAAATAACTACTACCCATCTTAATCATGTATCTAGACAAATAGTAATATAAAATTAACATAGATTTATGTATTGCTGCTGGTTAGGTTAATGTTAGAATTTGGAAAGGAATAATACTTATACAAGGAGCTGTTTAAGGCAGCCATTCAAACAGCTACCTTTGGATGCATTTTTTGCAGAAATTCCCTGAGTGATTCTCCACTAGTGGCAGGGCCTGAAGCTGCAAGATGATGGTGGAGAAGATCAGGCAATAATCCCATTGCTACATTTACTGGTACTTTCAGCTTTAGTTGTTACTTTAAATACTCAGTATTTCACAGGAAATTACTATTTTTCCTGACTCACAAAAGTTTGCTGTAATTACATATAATTTTATTATGCCATTGTACAACCTTTTTTTGAAAAAACACTTTTGATTTTCCTAAATAGTAGATATAGACTTTTATATGTTAAATTTAATTTTATAGGAAATTTGTTCAGAAGAAGCTGTAATCTATGTTGAGTGATACCTGTAATAACAGTGAAATTCCCCTACTCTAATTTAAATTTTTTGAGTGTATATGAACACTAACTTTCAGATTGCTTGTTATGTATGAGGGTACAAAGTTACATAAGAATAAAAACATAAAACCAAATGTTAGTCTTCTGGATTTTAATTTTTCCACATTAGTTGTCTATGATCTGGAATATTTTTGTTTTGTAGAGTTTTGCCACAAAATAATCAACTTCAGAAATTAGTAAGCTTATCTGTGTGCTAGAAATGAATCTTTTAATTAGTATAAAATCTCTTTCTTCCCCATTTGAACAGTGAAGGAGAGCAGGGTCCAAATGGAAGTCAGAACTCTAGCTACAGCCAATCTTAAAACATTCCGAAGAATTCCATAGTGGACCTCTTGGAAATAAACCATTGGACAGATTTCAGTAATGTCTTCAGTGGAACACAAATGAAAATGAATAGCTTGTTTCTGTCAAGCAATAATGGGAAGTGATTTTATTTTTGCAAAACAAGTTTTTCTTTACCTAATTTGATTTTAGTACATAATTGATTGAAATCTTTCATTATAAAAGGTTTAAAAGGTTCTGAGGGAACCTGTGGACACACATAGGCACTTCAAAGTTAATAGCTTTTGCTTAATATATTATTCTTAATTTGAATAATAGAATTTTTAACTTTTTATTAAGTCAGGAAACAAAACATGATTTGTTTAAAATTCTCTTTGGTCATTGAAGGACCAAAAAAGGACCTAAAAAGTCAATATATGAGGGTTTTTTAACCTCCTTTGTAGGTTAAACTTTAAAACTATTTAAGGAATGAAACCTTACAAAATCCTAGAAATAATCAGGGAAATTAATCAAGTACCAATTGATTTTTACAATGTATTTTACTGAGTAGTTTTGGTAGCTTGCCATGAAAGGCACTAGCCCGGTCTAGCAGAAGAGTGCAATATGTATAGCATAGTTTTGACATTTTAAAAGTTACATTTGTTCCATAAATGCTGGGCAGATTTTTAAACAGCAATCCACGTGAAATTATTCACAATTAATTCATAGTTAAACAGGAATTTTGAAAGTTTAATTGGATAAAATACCATAATAAAGTTAAAACTTGATAAAATTTTAATGTTAGTTTAATCTGCTGTGAATAGTTTTTTAAATAAAATTAATATGCCCTAGTTTAATTTTGTGTGTTAATGTGGACATATAAATTTATTGCAGGTATTTTGAGCTAGTAACACAATCAGGTTTCAGGCCAGTTTGCTGCTGGCTATTAATTCTCATGAGTGTAGTATTTCAGACTAAATGTTTTGTCAGTGGGACTGTGCTGTCTGTGAAACGTAATAAATTAATCATTTTCTTCATACTTGAAGGAGAGTAATAAATAAAACTTGGAGTCAGGATATTAATGTACAATTTAAGAATTAAAAATTTTTATAGCTTCATTGTGAACAATGGACTAGTCAATGTGACTTCCTAGCACAAAACAAGAATAAAAGTAAATTCTCCAGCCATACTGACTAATGTCTTGAATTCATTGTCTTGAATTTGTCATATATTGTTTTCTGAGAATCTTTCTTTAGATAAGAATTTAAAGTTCTGTTTCCTTATGGTAAGTATCAGATGAGCTGGAAAGGGAGATGAAGAGAAAGCAAACTCTTTGGTCTGGAGGAATTAATGTTGGCCATGGGTTGTATAAGCAGAGTAATGATCACAATTAACTATAACTATAAATTTCCCCTTTAAGTTTCCCTATATTCCTTTAAAATTTTATTTTTAAAATTGATACATATATGATTTTTGTTTGTTTGTTTTTTTGGTACTGGGGATCGAACTCACAACCTCATGTTTACCAGGCAAGCATTTTGCACCATTGAGCTAAATCCTCGACCCTAAAATTCATACATATGACTCATGGTTTTATTTGCAACTTTTATGGTGGAAAATCAAAAACAGCATACAAGAACAGATAAAGCCCTCTATCTACCAATCACCCAGATTCAACAGTTACCAACTGTCTTAGTTACTTTTTACTGGTCGCTGAGACAAAATACCTGATGTTCAGAGGTGGGAAAGGAAAGGTTTATTTTTGGAGGTTTCAGTCCATACTCAGTTGGCTCCAAGGCAGGGTGGCATGGTGGGGCCACAGTTCATGGCTGCTGCAAACAGCAAGGCAGAAACCAGCAAGAGAGAGACACATGCGTTCTTCCTGCCATTACATGCTGGCTCCACCCATATGGCGGGGGGGAGGCACTGACACCCTCAATCCAAACTCTAGACAATGAACCAATCACAAATGCACAATGCAAATGCATGAGGCCTGGGGGCCACAGACATAAATCATGGCACCAACTCATAGCCAGTTTCATTTTGTGTAAATTCCTTCTCACTACCCCTACCTCAAATGTTATTTGGAAGCAAATCCCAGATTTCATATTATTTCATCCACGAATGTTTCATTATGTACTAACATAATAAATGGCGCTTTAAAAAAACTATATTGTGTCTCAAAAATTGGTAAAAACAGTTTTCCTAAATATCAGAAACGCAGTTCAAGTTTTCACTCATCTCATAAATATAACTGTTAACTAGTCAAGATTTAAATAGGAACTGCACATTTCACTTCATTTATAAATCTCTAAATTTTTTTCTTTTTTTAATTCATGGAGCCTTCATTTCATTTAAAAATTTTTCCTTTTTGGTTTACTTCTCTACTAAATGTTTGCCAGAACCTGAATTTTGTTGATTGTATTCTTGATAAGCCATTTAGTGTGGCTTTCTTCTCTGTTTTGTACATTTGTAAGTTGAATCTACAGGGTTCATCATACTGAGTTTATATATTTTATACACTAGTGTGAATTTTTGTCTCATAATTTATCAACTACTTCTGATGGGATGTTCTGTTTTGTTTTGAGACAAGGTCTCACTGTAGTTCAGATGGGCCTTGAACTCACTCTGTAGCCCAGGCCAACCTCAAACTCATGTCAGTCCTCCTGCCTCAGCTTCCCACATGCTGGAGTTAAGGCATGTACCACCATACCTGGCTGATAATTTATATTGTTAAAAATTAAATATTACCATCTGCTACACTGTCCAGTATGATAGTCACTAGCCATTTGTGGCTTTTGAACATTTAAAAAGGGGCTAGTCTAAATTGAGATATGCTCACAATATAAAAATACTGTACACTGGATTTCAAGTATTCAGTATAAAGCAAAATGTAAAATCTCAAATTGTTTATAATGATTACATGTTCTAAATGGTAATATTTGGGTATGCAGGATTAAATAAAACATTAAGATAATTGTACCTGTTTGGTTTTTTAAAATACAACACAGCTTAAAGACAAAGGCTTGCAATGGACAGTGCTGCCTGTCCTAAGGAAAATACTAGCGCTCTGCCCCATTCTACCCACCTCTTATTCCCACTCCCTCTTCTGCCTTTTGTCATTCCTCTGTTGTTTACTTCCACATTTGCAAATAACAAGCTTTTAGTTACAGCATTTATTTGAGCATTTAATTGTGTGCCAAGTATGGTGTACACATTTATTAAGTCCTTTGTCTTCTCACACATCTGTCTTTCCCTTCCCCACCCTGGCACTTGATTAGGACTTCTGTCATTTTATTATATAGTTTTTGTTAAGTTAATATTCAGTATATATGAGGAATACATAGAAAATGTAGATACATCTCTTTGTATACTCTGATTAATTTCCTTTTAAAATACTTCTGTCTTTCTGGAATTAGTATTTAACACAGGATCAGTATTTAACTTTGATTTACTTTATATTTTCTACTATCCCATAATCATCTGTCATTATTTATTCCTCAAAATCATCTAGAGGGAGACATTTTGCCTGAGTCCTTTATCCTCTGCTCTGAACTAACTACTCTTCAGGCCAAGTTGCACCACTCGTTATAGAATTGACTATATTGAGACTTTATGTTTCTTCTCTTGTACAGTTACCCAACATAGAGGAAATCAAAGGCTTTTAGAATTTTTAATATTATTTTAAAGAAAATAAAACCAGTGTAGGAGATACAGGACTTCAAAATATTACAAAATCCATAATAGTTGCCATAATGCCTCTTGATGTCTTCAAAACAGCTGCAGGTAACTTAAGACATAGTAAAAATCGAACAGAACAGAATAGAAACAATAAAAACAAAGCAATGAATGCAGTGAAGGACTTCAAAACAAGCCAATAGTAAATCCAAAATGGCTACCATAATATATCTTGCTATTTTTGAAATAGTCGCCGTTGGATTTGTCATAAAACAAAAGAAAAGAAAACCCAACCCAACAAAACTGTGGAAACAATATAGGACTTTCAGAACAAGACTATTGGGAATCAACAGTGGCTGCAGCCCTCAGAAGGAGATCCCCAGGGGCTGGGGATTTAGCTCAGTGGCATAAGCGCCTGCCTTATAAAGCAGGCAGTCATGAGTTCGATCCCCAGTACCGATAAAAAGGAAAAAGACAAAAAAAAAAAAGAAGGAGATCCCCTCGACTTCCGGGAGAACATGGCGGACAGATAACAGATACTACGGAGGCTCTCTGAAAGGCTTGGTTCAGAAGTCAGGAAGGGTGCAGAGTAAGTAGACATAAGCAGGTGGAGATGTGCTCTGCTGACTCAGGAACGAACTGGGCTGAGAGAAACCAACTTGGAATGCAGTCCTGGTGCTAAAACAGGAACAGAAAAGCCTCAGTGTGGAGGCTGGAGCCCGCACCATTGGAAGCTGCGATTTGGGTTTCCCACCACGCGGCGGCTGGCTGCCTCTACAGCGGCTCGGCAAGGAGAGAGACGCGCGGAAGCTCTGAGAACGGGAATCTGCAAACGGAGTCGAAAACAGGACGGGCAGGGAGGCGTGCACTGACTTGTGGTGAGGTGAGTGAGAGAAACTGACACTCTACCACAGTTTGACTCCAGCAGAGGACTTTCTGGGCCTGTGCAGTCCTACGGGAGCAGGGCACGGTGGCGACGTCAGGCACACATCCCCCTCTCAGGCGGGATTGGTGAAAAGTGCCTGGCCTGCGTGACGCTGCTGGCGGACCCGGTAGGCTGGCCCAACCCAGATCCCAGAGCCTGACAGTGGCCAGGAGGGGCAGGCCCCGCGTAGGCTGCCTGGTCCGTAACTCCCTGGTGCGCTGTGGTGGGTGGGAACACCTAACCAGCGCAATTCGATCAGGCTGTGGCTGACAGGGAGAGAAGCTGGGTGTCCTATATAAGCTTGCATATAGAAGAAACAGAGAATATGGGAAAAGGCAGCAACAAGAAAGGCTCCTCGGCCCCCAATTCTGAGAAACAGGCAATAGTGGACACCGCACCAATAGACATAAAGCGCCATATAGAGAGCCTCATAGATCAATTCAGGAATGAAGTTATCAATGACCTGAAGCTAGAAGTATGCAGAATATTTAGAGAAATGCTAAGCACCACCCAAGAAAAAACAGATGGTGGAATGGAAGAACAAAAAAAGAGGGGAGAATTGTTTGATGGAGAAAACAGAGAAAGCATAGAATACGTGAAGCAGGTTCAAAGGGACTACCAAGAAACTAAGAAGTCTATCCAAGACTGGCATAACAGCTTGAAAGAAACTAAGGACAGACTATCTGAACTGGAGGGCAGACTTGTAATATGGGAGAATGAAATGAAAAACTTCTTAAAAATAACAAAGAAACAAACAGCAATAATACAAAGACAAGAAGATGATAAGAGGATCCATAACTTAAGGATTAAGAACATAAAAGAAGAAGTAGGGACACAAACAAGTGAACTACAAAAGCTACTCACAGAAATAATCCAGGAGAATTTTCCTAATTTAGCAAAAGGTAAAGATACTCAGATGTATGAGGCATACAGGACCCCAGCTACCTACAACCCAAACAGAGCAACACCCAGGCATATAATAAAAATTCCAGAAATTCAATGCAAGAACAGAATATTAAAAGCTGTCAGAGACAAGAAACAGACCACTTACAAAGGAACACCCATCAGAATTACAGCAGATTTCTCTGCATAAACCATCAAATCACGAAGAGCGTGGGGGGAAATAATTCAAGCTTTGAAAGATAATAATCTCCAGCCAAGATTGAGATATCCTGCACAACTGTCCCTGGAAATTGATGGAAAAACAAGGTGCTTCCAGGATAAAGAGGACCTGGGGGAATTTGCAACCACCAATTCAACTCTACAGAGAGTATTGCAGGATATTCTAAAAAAAAGAAAAATACAAAGGATCCAGAAATAGTGGCGGGGAGGCCACAACGAATGGAGCAGAGAACAAAATGAAGAAGACAAACTGACAGCTACTGACAGAAAAAGAGCTCAACAGAAATGAGGCAGAGATGATTGGATGATAGGAACAGCTATTTTGGAGAAAATGACATCTTAATAGGTAATACTGATTTAGTATCATCTTGTTTTGAAGTCTCATCTAGCTTTTGTTTTCTGTCTCCAATGGTCTAAATAGGTTGTATCTTATTGGATTTTATTATGTACGATAGTATAAGC